TAGAATATAGAAAATAAGCCTAACGATTTTACCTTTGCTGGCTCCTCAATAAGTTTTGGATGATTATACAAGTTTGAGTATGTACCTAAGGCAAGAAAGAAAACAAAGATAATGGAGGGTTGTACACTGAAAAATACCACCCCAATTTGCATAGCAATTTTTTAAAAAGTTATATATAAAATTTGAAAGGCTCATGGCAATTAGTTATGTTTTAGTGCAATTAATACACCCCGGCCAAATTTCTTTAATGAGAATGTATGCTGTTATGTGCCAGTCAAAAGCACAGAGAAATGCAGAAGCTATTTTAACTAGAAACCTTGCTATCAGTAACACGACAATCTACCATCTGCTTTACTATCCCTGGAAAAAGAAAGAGCCTCACATACTTACTCAAAATGGATTCACAATCCCACTTCTCTTTGGGTTCCTCAATAACTAAAGTTACGATTTCTTCTTCTTCTTCCTCCTCCCCCTTCTCATTAAGGGGAGAATCTAAATCCTTTCTTGGTTCAAGAGCATCAGGTTTCACACAGCTTTTAGAGAAGGTAAGAGAAGAGGGTGGGAGTCAGGGAAAGGAAAAATAAGAATTTCACTATAACTTCCTAACACTGAAAAAAAGAATGAAGGCTTACCCTTTCCCTCCACCCCTTTTATTTAAATCTGTGACTACATAACCTCCTCCCTGCAAAAGACAGAAAAAAAACATTCCTACCTGTGTTAAAAACAAAAACAAACCACTTAGTAATGTGACATGGGAATTTCTTTTCCTTTCCCCTATCCTCTCTCTCCACAAATCTCCAAAATAACCAGACTATTTAAATATCTGCACTGTCAGAGGTAGATTGCTAAGAAAGCTGCCTCTACTTTCAAGAATATTTGGCGCACCTGAATGCAGGAAGGAGGAAACATCAGTGAACCGAATGGCTGGCTGACTGTTGTCCCCCCTCCACATCTGAATGCAAAGGATTGGGTCATAAGTGTTCAATTAGGTATACATGATCAATCAGGTATACAATCATGATACACAAATCATTCCACTATGTACATAACAGGTTCTGCTGTTGGTTCTGTACACAACAACAGATGGAGATACTCTGCTGCAGGGTCAGTTACAACAGAAAGATGCATGGTAGGGGAAACCTCAGTCCAAATCAGTAACTTCCTTGCAAATCAGAAGGGCTAAGAAGGCCTCTGAACATTAGCTGTAGTTAAGTGGGATACAATTATGTCCCCTTTTCAGTAAGGCTGCAAGCATCAAAAAACCCACTCCATAACACTTTGGTGCATCACCACTCAATTCAATAGAAATCCACTGCTAAATAAAAATATGAATATTTTACAAACACTAAACTAATTACATCCTACAAACAAAAATACGGTCTCCATCGAAGTAAATTAAAACTCAGATAGATTTTATCTTAATAAGTGAGATAACATGTCACTAGAGGGAGTAACGTGTAATTAGTGTTAGTTCTGATTCACATAAGTAGCTCTAAAAGTGATTCTACACACTCCTTAGCTTTCTCTTTGTAGTAGTCATTCAGGACTTCTTGCAACCGAGTGCTGTCGGTGTGAATAAAGCCTTCTAATTCCACATTATCCAACGCTCCGATCTCATCGTCATCAAACTGTTCAAAGAACTAAAAAGGAAAAAACACAAAGCTAAACGAATGATGAATATTTGCATCTAGATTGCATGTGTGAGACAAATGCAATGTTGTTCAACAGCTTCTCTGGATATTAAAAATTCATTTTCACACTATTTATAACAAAAAGTTTTGCAGGGCAGAGACTGTCGGTTCTGTGTTCTTACAGTGCCTAGCACAATGAGGTCCTGCTCCAGGACTAGGTCTCCTTAGCATTATGATAACAATAATGATAATTTCTTTCCATTCACTCCCATTTCTTTCTCCCCTCATAGAAGTCTTTGAAACAAGTCTACAAAACAAATACAGTAGTAGTAACAGCGAAGGGTAGGCCTGCAGCAGGCTCTCTCCTTTACCTCCAATTGACATGAGCATACCAATAGTAAATTAATTATCTTTCAATGTTATATTGTCAAATTACTCATTTCTCTTTGGGACATTGTTCGGGATAATTAAGTAAATTAATTAGACTGCCACTACCTACTGGAAAAGTTAGACTTCATGCATCCACCACACTTCATACAATTAGATCAAAGCACTTTTAAAACATCTTATAAATCCATCTCACAGGACTAAAATACCACCCCCACTTTACAGATGGAAATGTGATTTGACAAATTATATATCCTTTACTGCTTGAGATTCCACATCGCCCCATAGCAATGGAAATTATTATAATTGTTGGAGGCAGGAAAAGAGGAAATCCGTAGTTAGGATTACATCCCTGCGGCCTTTTAATGTGAATGAGATAATACAACCATGCATTGGATGAGAACCATTTAAAACCCATACTCAAACTCATTTCTTGTAATGCAAAAGGGTCTATGCGCATGGATCAGCTTAGCAGTGGTTTTCAAACTGGGGTATGCAAGAAAAATCCTGTAATGGCGGACAACACATTTTATTTAGTAAGAATTGGCAATCTAATCAATGTTTAATCGCCTTAAAATTAAAACCGCAGCTGCATTGGTGTACATTTCCTTTCTGTATGTGACTGAGAATCAGACGTTTTCAAACCGTAGTGGGTGCCCCCTAAGGGGGTGCGGAGGAACGTTGAAGTGGGGGGCTGTTTTCAAACTTTTTGTAATCCCTGCCATGAGTTACAATTTTTGGTTGTCTCCCCCCACACCCAGACAGGCTGGTTGGCCCACTGAGGTGAGTTGGAGAGCAGAGGTGGTGCTCCCTCCCTGAGCCCAGGCATGCAGGGCTGGCCCAAGACATCTGACATAGCCACTTGCCCCCTGAACATTCCTCTGCATCCCCCTGGATGTCCCCCCCAGTTTGAAAAATCGGGGGTGATGGGGGATTGTCATGTGACCCTGCATGCCCCCTCCCCCCCCCAATCACCTCCACCTATCTCAGGTGGGGATGTACAGTAGACTCTCTTATCTGGAAAGGGGTACGCAGCCTAAAAAGTTTGAAAGCCACTGGCTTACAGGATTTGGGGTGGGGGAGAGCAGGACGGGGCAAAAAGCACAGAGAAATAGGTTTAAAATATCCTCTCTCTCATATGCTTGGGGCTTCTTAGCATTTTTATCAGTGAGCTACCTCACCTTCTCAAATCTCTCATCTAGCAGGGTCAGCTGTTCATTCCTTCTCATTACGGACGAAGTTATGGAGTATTCTGTGAAACGACTCTTGGTTTCCTCTTGCATGAAAAGAAACTCTTTCATCTCTCCACTAACTCCCTCATCATCCGACAAAGGACCCTCTGAATCATAATCTTCATCACTACTGTTGTTGTCCTTTCCATCATCCATATCCTCCCACTCATCTTCATCCTCAGTATCAGAGCTCCTGAGTAGAATAGATCTGTAGATCAGCCACTTAAGAAATGGGTATAGCCTGTCAGAGTCTACCCAGTGTTATTTTATCACCTCAAACTTATGCCAAGTTAAATTAAAAAAAGATTCTTCTCATGCAGATACAAGAAGTTGAAATGTTTAGTAGTAAAAGTGCTGCCCAAGTTAAAATCAGGGTGTACCAATAAATATTTGATTAGAGTGAATAGCCAGAAATGCTTTCACACTTGGTCGTTCCCTTGGTGTTCCAAATGCAGCATGTCTGGTTAGTTATACATCAGGAAACAGGACTAGAAAAAAAGAGAAAGCAAAAGAATACTGGAATATTAATATGAGTAAAACTATGCATGTGCTTATGAAAGAAGTGGTACCAGTAGCTAATGCTAGAAATACCCATGAAATCTCACTTCATAGTAACAAGATGTTTCCCAAGGTCTTGTAAACACACTACAATGACCACCTGTAATATTATTGCCTATAATACTGGAAGTGTTTTGAGATTGCGTTAGATTTGGAAACACAGTTTAGATCTCATAATCCTGTTTACTAAGTAAATTCCATATATTTGTGAATTTAGTGTTGTTGTTTCAAACAGATAAACAAAAAACAAAAAAAGAACTAGGAACAATATTGCATTATTTGTTATGACATTAAAGAGTTCTGCAAAGCTTCATATACCGACAATCTTCTCCTTTCCAGACCCCTTTCCCTGGCTCACTGGCCTTTAGGACAAAGTCATCTTCGAGAAGATTATCTGGATTATTGAAGTCAAAGTCATCATCAAGAGCTGCGACAATATCAGGGTCAAAATCCAAACGGGGTCCTACAATGGAAAAGAATGCTTTAAAATTGGCATTGCATCCCCAAGCCACTTCCCAGAAACAAAGGTTCCCAACTACAAATGCTAATTTGTACCAAGTGGAGCTATTTGCGGAGCTCAAATAACCCCTTTTTGGGAAGGAAGGGAAGAATTTTAAAGAATTCATTAGAAGTACAGGGCAAAGTTGCTGAGTTGAATTTGACAGTGTACAATGTTTCAATTAAAAACTATAACTCTGCTCATTAGAAGTCAGACAGATGTGTGGTCCAATAGTCTGAACACATGATAACATGTGACTTTTCTCACCAATTATACATGATTTATTCTGATTTGGATGACTGCTTCTCCTATGTTTGGAGTACATACATCCTCCATTGCAGTATATTTATATATATATTATATACATACACACACACACATATATACACACACACAAAATGTACACACACACACACCCTTTCTAAATTACACACACACACAGACCACAAAACTAATCCTCTACTTCAGTTTGTTGCACAGTTGTCATTAAAACCTACCTTTCTGGCCAGAAGGAACTATGGATTTTAAACCCCAATCAGAGAATGTGTGATAGATGCTATACCAGAATGGCACACATAGGTATATTATGCAAGCACACTGTGCATCTTTGTAACACTGAATACTTAAATCATCCTACAGTTTAAGACTACAACACTGGGATGCTGAATGGAATTTACTTTTCTTTCAAGGAAGACAAACTTTGAGAATGAAGCCCCAGTTCTATACTGGGATGCATGTAGATGAACTTTTGCATCAGTGGGACTCTACAGGGGCACAAAGATATACTTGCACATAACCCAATAAAGGAATGGGGCATTAAAGGACTGACAAAATTCCTTAAAAAAAAAAACACCCTCTGAAGAATTTTCCCCTCTCTTCCTCCTTTCCCAACTAGGGTTTCCTGCACAATATAACAAACCCAAGGATTAGAACCAGTTACTATATAATGCCAAAGAAAGGCACCGATTCAATTATTGAGGAAAATAAATCTTGAGCCACTTTTTGGTTCTCCTCAATTATGGAGACGTACCTGAAGCAAAACAATAATCTCAATAGATGAACAACCTTAATGTTTAACAAAAATATAATTTCACCTAGGTCACCAAGAGGACCATTAGCTTCACAAAAGAAGAAGAGGTAAAGAGTTGTATGGTACCTGAAACAGGAGCAGCTTTATTTAACAGTCCCACATCCTCTTCAAACTCTGAGGCAAACACTGAGGAAGGCAACTTAATAGTGGGAGACTTTAAACAAAAAAGGAAACAAAACAGTTATTTATTTAAAGTAGTCTTAAAGATGCAAGAGTGATCATATGTTTTGAGTACTCTGACAGAGACAAATCTTTGAAAATTACTGCTTACTTACCTGGAGAAAACAGGATTTTAACTGAGTTTCTTAGTGGACTTGAGAAGAACTCTGTAGCTCAAAACCTTGTCTTTTTCACCAAAAGAAGTTGGTCCTATAAAAGTTATTACCTCCCTCACCTTGTTTCTTTACTGGACTAAGTAATGGAAGTTAGCCAATGAAGAATTTTTGCCCTTAGTATGCATATTCCCCCAGTACAAAGATTGTTTGAAAGCTTTCAAGATGTGACCGAGGAAATGGTTGTGCAGGAAATAACCAGAAGCAACTTTCTATTTCCTTAATAGCATAAGCATTACTAAAGACCATTTTAAGATTTCCCTTCTAAAGCCCTTTCTATGTGCAAGACTTTAAACTTAAAAACAGTGCTTCCAAAGTAATGACTTTTATGGAACTTTTTATAACGTGGTCAAAATATACTTAGTTTTAAAAACATATGTCAAGGCTGCTTCCCCACTCTGAACTTTAGGGTACAAATGTGGGGGCCTGCATGAAAACTTCTAAGCTTAACTACCAGCTTAGATCTGGTCCACTGCCACCATTCCCAAAGCTTATTCCCTTCCCTGGGAAGCCTTGAGAAACTCTTCAATTCCCTGGTGAATACAGATCCAAACCCCTTGGATCTTAAAACAAGGAGAAATTAACCATCCCCCCCTCCTTCCTCCCACCAACTCCTGGTGGATCAAGATCCAACCCCCTTGGATCTAAAAACAAGGAAATAAATCAATCAGGTTCTTAAAAAGAAGGCTTTTAATTAAAGAAAAAGGTAAAAATCCTCTCTGTAAAATCAAGATGGAAAAATAACTTTACAGGGTAATCAAACTTAAAGAGCTCAGAGGACCCCCCTCTGGCCTTAGGTTCAAAGTACAGCAAACAGAGATGAAACACTCTAGTAAAAGGTACATTTACAAGTTGAGAAAACAAAGATAAACTAACACGCCTTGCCTGGCTGTTTACTTACAAGTTTGAAATATGAGAGACATGTTCAGAAAGATTTGGAGAACCTAGATTGATGTCTGGTCCCTCTCAGTCCCAAGAGCGAACAACTTCCCAAACAAAGAGCATAAACAAAAGCCTCCCCCCCCCAAGATTTGAAAGTATCTTGTCCCCTTATTGGTCCTTTGGGTCAGATGCCAGCCAGGTTACCTGAGCTTCTTAACCCTTTACAGGGAAAAGGATTTTGAAGTCTCTGGCCAGGAGGGATTTTAGCTGTCCTGTGTACAGTACTAGGTTACCTTTCCCTTTATAGTTATGACAACATATGTGCCAGTTTTCATCAAAATTGAAAAACTCTGTAGAGCCACACTTCCCCATGCCCTTAAAATAAGCTATCGTCGATTCAGTTTGTACACTTTTCTTGCACGCTCCACTGTGTGTGAGGGTTACCTAATAGCTTTCCAAACCACTAACATGGTGTTCTGGCACACCACTGAAGGTCAAAACTTCACTGTACTCAACATTGGAAGCATTCACCTGTATTTTCCCCAGATTCTGTTTCATTACTTTTTTAACCAATATTTGATATAGTTTCTAGTTTATTACTAAATATTTAAGATTTCATCACAATCCATTACCACAAAATCTGAGTGTTTTATAATAATTATAACCAAATGCAAAAGTAGTGAGAGCAACTCGCATGGTTTTTTTCCATACAACTATTATGGGATCCCATCCCTTTTGGGTCACACAAGAACCATCACTGTCATGATGAAAGTCATTTAAGGGCTTTGCAGCTTCTAAATAACGAATGGATCATTAATTGCCAATATAATACTTTTGCCTATGATCAAATAGGAAATTTGGTATGCCAAAGTACCTGGGAAAAACGGAATCCTTCATAAGTAGCTTATAACCACATGAACGCTTTTTGAACAAGGTTATTAAATTTAAACATGTAGCTGGATTTACACGATGTTAAACTCAGCAAGGTACAACACAAGAATGGTCAACAGTGCAGCAAATACCATACTTACTGGAATTTGTTGACTTTCTTCCTCTCTCTCTCCTTCCCCTCTCACTATAATCCTGCTCTGTTGACCAGACACATCAGACGGGACTAGCTCTGAGGGACCAGAGGCTTCTTTTAGATGCTGCAAGTAGTCGTAGTCATCATCAAAGAACACTCCATATTTCCTCTGCTCTTCTCTCCTCTGTTCCTCATCTCCCTTGAGATTGTAAAAAAGATTAGGATTAATAAATTAGATCAGATTCAAATTCATTAGCAATAATGTCGATCTCAAATACATAACCTGGGAATCCTCATCTTGAAAAACAAGGACACCTAGCAGAAAAAACAAAAAACAAAAACAAAGCCCCCAAACAGATAAAAGACAGAAATGAAAACCTTAGTCTGAAGGATTGGGAAGGAATTTTTTTTTTTTTTTTTTTTTTTTAAAAACACACAAGATCTAGTTTTGTAGTATAACTTAAACTTTTTAGTTTTAAAAACAATCCTACCTGGGCCGGCTACAGGCACCAGCCGACCAAGCACGTGC